TCTATAATCCACGTAAAATTCAAACGGGACGCTACGTTTGTAAGAACCTCTCTTAGTTAACTAACTTATTTATTATATTATTTATCGTCCACAAAGCTATATAACTTTCTCTATTTCTGGTCCAGAAAACATAACAGATAGCTTCTATTTAATATTTATTGAATAGAAATAAATCGTTAAGGGATTTATATAGTAACTTGACTGAATAAATAACACTTACAAACTGTATTTTGTAAACCACTTTAACAATTACGTGCTAATGGAAGCTCGCTCTAAAGTTTGTTGCGATCACTGTTTTAATGGCGTTTTGCCGAATCATTGATAGCAAATGTTACATTGAAACTGACGAACTATCTTATAAATAAACGCAGATGTAGAGCTAATCTGAATGTTAATTTCTCCTTTGATTATTGAAATTTAATGTAAATTCTGATCTCTTGCTAAAGCCATGTTATACACGGAGCAATCTTGAGTCATATTGCTCATACTCGTACTCATGGAACTATATTATGGTAGCAAACATATAACATCCTTTTTTCAAAGCAAGCCACAATCTCTTCCAAAGGCAACTCGACATTGGCCCCATCCGCAAAGAAAAATCAATAACTAAGTAATTGAATTAAATTGCTTTTAAAGACACGGAAATCGTAAAATTATTTCGATAAACGTGCGAATTCATTCTTAAGAAATAACCGTAACTTGTTCATTTTTGCAAAGGTTAGAAGTTTTGAAGCGAATTTTCTTTTGAGCAAGGTTTTCAAAGGTGGAAGTTGCGTGGGACGTGTTCTTTCACTAGGAAGCCGAGTGTCAGAAAACGTGAGATGTTTCAAAATGTACTAAAATGTGTGGTTTGTCCGCACTAACATCTGTACTAATATTTTAAGACGTATTCGTTGAACAAACAGTTCCCTGTTTACTACATAGATAAAATGTAAAACGAACTCTTCAATAAATGGGTCAATATATCATTCGCTATAAATGGTACAATAATAATACGCAGTAGACCAAAAAGTAGATTCAAGAAAGAATTAAGCGTATCCTTAAATGGTCAGTGGTTATAACATTCCATGTGAAGAGATACGTTTCTTTTATTCTTTTTTTATGACGTCATTTAATTTAAGGTAAAGCAACACAATCAAAGGCACCCTCGCGTCGCACCTTTTATACAAAGAAAGTACATTTATCAAAACATGTTTCCGCAGTCTTATTATGCCATTGACAAGAAAGAATCATAAATCATAAGAAAGCCGACAGAAACTATAATAACACTGAAAATCGTTTAAAGATTTTCATATTAAGTAAGGGAAATAAAAACTGTATTGAATATTATTACTATACTAGCTTTCTGATATTAATAATAGTAAGTATCTTGGGTTCTTCCATATTATGCTATACATTTACGCCAAACTTCATTCAAATCCGTTCAGCCGTTTAGGCTTCAAACTAACAAACACCCATCCATCTAAACTTTCGCATTTATAATGTTACTAAGATAGAAATTTCAACTTTTACCTCACTGCTAAAGTAGGCAAATATGTATGAACACTTAAAATAGTCTATACATTTGAATTTTGGAATTTAAATTGCAAAAGCGCCCCTTGAATAGGATTTGGTTCGGAAACAATATTTGCATTGCAATCGAATCGAGATTCCGCAACTTTGAGTCAACATTTACTTCCCAAATGAATATGCGCGGAGTCCCTTATCATCAGTTCTGCGGCTGTAGTGTTTAACATTGCACTGCTGTTGTGAATAATTACGACCGCGCTACAGACTACTAACGACTGGTAAATAGTAAAAAATAAGACAACTCGTTATGTCAACTGAATGGTGCGTTTAATTTGTAAAAATGTCGTTTAAAAGATCGACGTTACGGATTCATCATATATACCATCATCATCTTCCTCCTTCTCCTACTCCCGTAGGGTCGGCTCGACAGATTTTTGTCCTCCACATAACTATCATACGTCATCTCAGTCATCACTCCCTTCTTGATCATTACACCTTTCACGTTATCCATCCATCTCTTTCTACGTCTAGGTTCATGTACCACTGGACAGACTTTGTTATTTGGTAGGACGTTCTAAAGACGCCAGAGACATAAATGCAAGAGTTTTGTTACTGAATTTAATTAAACTTTTGCTCGCACTATGGCATTAACTATATGAGTTTTTTTTATTTCGACTTTGGCATTACAATGCAAGTTGGGTTGAAGACAGTGCTATAGCAGAAATATAAATTACTTTTAAAAGAACAACTCCTAGCTTTTATAAAAGGAAGATATTAATTTCATTCGTATCCCAAAGTAGTTCCCTTTAATGTTCGTAAAAATGTATCCTTAAACTATTTATTTCGTATCCCAATATAAGTTCGGTCCCTGCACAAAGCGTATAACAGCTAAAGGTCGACAATATCGACAATCTTAACCACAAAAGTAGGGACCGTCGAACGGGTAACGAAATTACTTCCGTCCTTTACAAACTCTCGCCGCCATTACAACGCGAAGGAGATACGACCAACTTTAAACGCAAGTTTTTTATCAGATTCCCCTTTAGTTTGTGCAAAGTTCCTTGTTTGTTACTGTCACTTGATATCTTTTTTCTTATACTTTTATCCCGAGCCACCGCTCAGTTATTGTCAGATAGTTAATAGATAAGTGCTAAAGTTTGCCTTTATACCTAAACTGTTTTTTGCAAGACCAGTCGCACTACCTTGTTGATTTCTCTAAGTTCTTTGCAACGATTTATAAGGGAAATTATGTGCTCTCCTTATAAAAAGAAACTTATGTGGGGAAAATACAAATTAGTATATTAAATTATTCTTGTCACAAAATCCATCTAAAATATTTTTACAAAAATACCTATTAAAATTATTATCTATAACGTGAATTTCTGTTGGGTCGACAACCGTTCTCTTCTTTTTCCATCAATTCTTCGTCTATTAACACTTCGAAGTCCCCTAAAGCTTCAGGGGATGGTATTTTATTCCATCTGGCGTCAGGAATACCATCTGGCGGCACCACGACCGAAATAATGTTGTCGATCAGTTTATATTTCAATATGCGATCATTATGAGTGGTCGACTGCAGCGAGGGGGACGCGTTCACTTCTACGAGCCAAGGCTTAAGCGTATTATCGATGATAATATCATATCCATAACATTCAAAACAATGGCGATCGTTTGCCATAACTGGCGCTACGGCTTTCAGCGAATGAACTATCAGCCAGTGCATATCAGCAAACAGTTTCTCAGTTACCGATCTGCCGCGCGTCCCTTCTAAATATAAACGAAAGTTTTGCACGCTCATTTTTCCACCGTGCAAGCTGTTATATTCCACACCGTGTCTCTGTACACTCACATTTGTCAAATGTACATACATATTATCCAACTCAGTTACGCTAGTATCGTATTTGACTGTACAAAATCTACAAAAGCCGTGCTTGAACAAATACGCTTTTAGCGGTCGGAACGAAGTCACCAACATGTACAGCCTCAAGTCGAACTTCTTGCCGCCGATCAAAAGCGGGTTGTCAATATATCGCGATATTACGTAACTTTCTTTGCTACTGAGTTGGGGATGAAAAGGAATCTTCGCCTCTCGGGACCATTTCTTCAGTTTTGAAAGTTTGTTTATTAGAAATATTCCAGTGCCTTGAGATTTGCCGCAAGGCTTCATAATCCACGTGCTCTGGGGTGACTTTCTATACTCTTCCACGAACATATTATAATCAGCGGGCAATACATAAGTTACGGGTATTATATCTAAATGTACATAGCGTGTTGCAACTTGCCCGCTTGACAGAACGACTTCCATTTTTTCCGCCAAAGGATTACCTTCCTTTTCTAGTTCTTTGCGGTATCTCTTTATATTTTTCACTAATAAATCCTTACGTGATATTTCATAGTGGTTTGGAAAATGGTTAATTATTTGATTGTCGTTCATTCTGTATCCGTTGTCTATGCTGAAGATGTTTCGACAATTTTGTGTAAAAGACCAATAGAAATTCCACTCGTCCTCCGGCCCCACTTGTATCCAGCCGCGTCGCTCGAAGTTGCTCATTATGACCGACTTCTCCAAGTCCGTACAATACGTCACTCGTTTGTCCATTGTGATTTAAAACGGAAATAATTTACAACGAAATAATAATTTTTATCCTAAATAGATGTCATTTTGAGGACAGTCACTGACAGATTTTACTTTTAAAAATCACGTTAATAATAAACAAAAAATGACTTTTTATTTATATGGCAAAGGTTACATTATTTTGTATATTTTTTTTTAGTTAAAGAAGTTTTTACGAAGAAGTTATTACCCTAATTAAGGGCAATTACCAAGGGGACCTTACGGTAGGATAATAAGGAGGATGATGATAATGATGAGTTGAAGGGATTATTGTAAAGTTGGAATTCTTATATGACTACTTATTAGTGATAAATCTAGCACTTATTATAAACGCCATTAAACTTTATTACTTATATTAGATAATATTATAAACATTAAGTTAAGTTTTATTTTGATACTTTTTTAAACGAGGTTAGAAAATTACTATAAAAATATAAATTAAAAGAACGTTAAATGAGAAAATTAAATTTCAGTTTAATCAGAATTCTGTCAGTCGCCGTTAATTTTAATTAAATTTTTGTTGACACAGAGCTGAAGCTTAGCGTTGGCTGGCGGTGTCGGTTTGTTTCTGGAGTGTCTAGCGACACCCACTAGAAATTATCTCTCGCCACACAAAAATCAAGTTTTCAAAATTAATATTTAACACTTAAATAAAATAATTATTCAGGCTATTTCAAAACTTTATTACATAAGCGTAAGATAGACATTGTCGCATTACCAATAATATTATCCTGGTCTGGGGTCGCTTCAATCGGCTTCTTTTTGATGTCAATTTCTGATTTACCTACACAACGTAATCATATTACCTAATTAGGTTATAACTACATGTAATAATCTAATCCTGATATTTTTTCAGTGATAATTTCTCAATTTGAATTTAGGTTGTACGATTTTTATGACTTTTATGACCACGACCAGTAGTATTTACCTGTTCATCTTTCTCTATTAGCTCTTCGTCTATGAGCAAATCAAAGTTACCTAGAGCTTCAACATTCGGTTGCTTGTTCCAACGGACATCGGGCACACCTTCAGGAGGAAGAACAACGGATACAATATTATCGATTAATTTGTATTTCAGTATTCTGTCATTTACAGTAGTCGATGTAAGCGACGGAGAGGCGTTCACTTCGACGAGCCATGGCTTTAATTGATTGTCAATTATGATGTCGTAGCCGTAACATTCAAAACAATGTCTATCGTTGGCCATAACCGAAGACACCGCTTTTAGAGAATGCACAATCAACCACTGCATCGCTGCAAATAGCTTGTCAGTAACCGGCTTTCCTCTCGTCCCTTCTAAATACAATTTTAAATTCTGAACGCTCATTTTCCCGCCATGTATACTGTTATAGTCGCCGCCATGTTTTTGAACGCTCACGTTAGTAAGATGTACGTACATATTATCCAACTCTGTAACACTTGTGTCATATTTAACAGTACAAAAGCGACAAAATCCCAACTGGAATAGATAGGCTTTCAGAGGCCTGAATGAAGTTACGAGCACGTACAATCTCAAATCAAACTTTTTTCCACCTATCAGCAAGGGGTTGTCAATGTATCGGGAAATTACGTAGCTCTCTTTAGTTAGTTGCGGATGAAATGGAGCCTTCGCCTCGCGAGACCATTTCTTAAGTTTTGATAATTTATTTATGAGAAATATTCCAGTACCTTGTGATTTACCGCACGGTTTCATAATCCACGTGCTCTGTGGTGACTTGCGATATTCTTCAACGAACATATTGTAGTCTGCTGGCAAAACGAACGTCACTGGTACGAAATCCAAATGAACATATCGAGTAACCACTTGCCCACCTTGTAATGCGACCTCTGCTTTCTCAGCTAACGGGTTACCTTCTCTCTCCAATTCCTTACGATACCTTTTGATGTTTTTCACAAGTAAATCCTTTCGCGATAGTTCGTAGTGATTGGGGAAATGGTTTATCATTTGATTGTCATTCATTCGGTAGCCACTTTCTACGCTGAAGAGATTCCTGCAAGTTTGTGTCGACGCCCAGTAGAAGTTCCATTCATCGTCGGGACTCACCTGATGCCAGCCGCGTCGTTCAAAGTTGCTCATTAACACTGACTTTTCTAAATCAGTGCAAAAGTTCACTCGACATCTCTCAACTACGGGCGCATTCACTCGACCGTAAAAACTTGCGGCGAGTTTCTTTGCGTCTTGATTCATTTTTTTAATGTTCTCACTAGAAGTATTCCTACTGAAGCCAAAGTGAAAATGTATTTTACGTTGAAGTGTTACTAAGGCAAACAACCGCAAACTAGAAACGTTCTCTAATCGATCTAACAAAGCATAGATACGAAAAGTCTGCTGTACTATTAAAGGATATTACGCTTTTAAGATGGATGTGTGGTGCGGCAAGGGATAAATTTAAGAATGTTTGTATTAGAGAAAGTTTGTTAGTAGCGCCAGTTGTCGAGACGTGGTATGGAAATGTTATGCGACGAGAGGATAGGATATAAACCAGAAAGTGTTAAGATTTAATGAGGATGGCTACAAAGGTAGAGGAAGACTGAAGAAAGTATGGATGGACTGCGTGAAAGAGGATATGCTTAAGAAGGGAGTGGATTCAGATATGGAAGAGCAGAGTGCCGACCCTCCGTAGGGTAAGGGTAAGTTGATGATGAAAGGATATTACGTTTTGGTTCTCACAGTACGTCATCAAATTAATATGCGCGGTTCACACTTAGCCAATACAGTTAAACAGTTTTACGGTCAGTCATAGATTGTATGGATTTGCTATCGTCAACGTTCACACTGTGCCAGTTGATTGACATTCCAGTTGAGTGCTACTAATCAACTGGTCAGGTGTGACACGGGAATTAGTCAGAAAATGTGCATTCCAATAAGTTTTGTATATTTTAAAGATTAAAAAAATATTTTAACAGCTAAGTAATCGGATGGTTTTCATTTAAAGATGGTGGAGTTAAATATATTAAGCAGGCAACGGGTGGTTGCCGCTGCGAAGCTATAATAAAATCAGCCCCGTCTCCCGCATACATGATTTAATAAAGAGGTACGATAACGCGCCGCTAAGAATTCCATCGCCAGAATTGCTGTATACATTATTTTTATGATTGCAAACGAAACGAGAAAGAAAAATATTATGTTTATTACGTTTGCTTTGTGTTATTACAAATTTTATGAGATTATTTATGGTTGGTATTTTATGAGATGCTTTTTAATATCTTTGGAGAATGTTAGATGTATTTGTGAGTCTTTTATCAAATAATTTGAATATTAATATTTTTGTATAAGGACAGAATCTTTTTATCGAGGCGAAAAAACACTTTAAAAATAATTATTGTCATTAAATGAAAGAAAGCATGTTTTAAATTTTTTTTATTGAAAAATATCTAACTATATTTAACATTATCCTTATAAATCTATAACAATTTTAGTCCAACGGCAGTTATTATTTGTATTTATCAAACATTATAATCAATACATATCTTTTTATTGCTTCAACACTCATAGTTTATCATGATTTATAAGTTAAGTGTACAATAATTATAAATGTGAATTTAATCAATAGTGGGTTTCCACTGACGAAACTTCTGTAAAAAACATTTTTTACCTCTTTTTTTCAGATAGAAAAAGAAAGGTGACAAATGTTGTACATGTTTAACGACAATGGAAACAGAGCAAGAATCGATAAAACATTCAGTCAAGCTTAATGTCATACAAAAGATATATAACTATCTCTGTCTTTCTCCTAAGATTAGAGCGAGACAAAGTACAATATAATTATCTAAAACCACAAGCCGTCCTCCGCTTCTTCTTCACTGTCGGTGACTTGCAGATCATCTTGTATCGCAGGATCCGGCTGACGAACAAATATCATATAAAGCTATGTACACATTAAATAAGATAATACGATTTTGGGAAAAGTATACAAAGCTACATAAAACTTGTATACGCTTATCTATCTTATGCTTGCGGCCATGAATATATAATTTATGGATATGTGTAAGCCCATACAAGTTGGTAAAAATGGACAAATTAAACGATGCCATAAAGGTCAAAATTAAATTTAGTCATTACTTTAATTATCCACATATATTAAAAATTAATATGAAAACTCAGTCTATATTGTACAACAGATGGCGCTAAGGATTAGGTGCACCATTTGTATTATAATTAACACTGGCCACCGAAAAAGACTTATTAAAAATGTAACATTATGATAATAAAAAATAAAAACTTAAACAAACAATGTAAGTCTCTTACCTGCCAGTTTTCAGGTGGCTCCTCTTTGAACTGCGGCGTGTGCAGCGCCGCGCCCGCCGCCAGCAGCTGACCCTCCATGTTCACATCCTGCTCGATTGGTTCCTCCTGATACAATATATGTCGCAATCAGAAGAAGAAATCAATTTGAATTTAAGTCGTAATTAAAACACGAGCGCCGCCAAGCGACTTTCGAGAGAACTTAGATCATTCTGAAAATAGGGATCGTTACGAGAACATTGAACGATATGAGCTGGTAGATCGATGACTGAGAAGTATTGTGAATGTATTCCTTGAATCCAACTTTACCCATGGCCGCCCACATGAGATCTCGAGTAGTTCTGATATCGTGCTAGCTCAAGCCGACATATACATATAAAATTTAGTGTTAATATTTCTTTGACGCAGCATATAAAATAGCCTATAACATTCCCGAGTGCCTCAGCTATATTTCCTTCAAAATACCGTCAATATCGACCCAGCCGTTTTTGAGATTACGCAGAACAAAAAAGGAGGCAGATGAAAATGTTAAAATAGATATCTCGTCGTCAGCAACTCAAATCACGTCTATATTTTTTTTTCTATTACACAGACAATATTTTCATCATAGAGTGTTTTTTTTCTTCTGCATAAAAACATTAAATGTCCTTCAACTGCAGTGAGAATCTGACGGTGTAACACGTAAAAAGCTAGCCGTGTACATTGAGAAGACCACGCATTATATAAACTAATAGGACGCAAGTTGTAAATGTGTATAAAAAAGTTCGTTCAATCGCAATTTTTTTTATAACATTTCCCCATCCTATGAGTCTCCTCCACCCTCAAATCCACGTTCCCTTCCCATCCTATTCTTATGAGAAAAATGGTGGGTAAGAAAAGGGACTAAAGTTGGGCCTCCGGCAGCACACTCATCAGAAACGCGGAATTGCTTCCACTTCACGCCTGTTATCTGTGTGGTCGTGGTATTGTTGGGGCCGGCCCTGCAGTGCGAAGATGTTAAAGCGGGTTCTACCCCTGTAATTGCTCATTATTCGTATATCGTCGTTTGTGAAACTCACTGCTACCTTATTATTTGTAAGAGGACAAGACAATCTGTAAGTGGTATACAGCGGGTTTTCGCGACATGTGTTTGAGACATTATTTTTTAAATTTCGTATATAAGATTGTTTACCTTAACAACAGTAGGGAATGTATAGTCGTTGCTGCGGTCGAGGTCCACGTAGTCGTCAGTATGCGGCGGCTCGTCCGGCATCTCGCGCTTTATCTTCAGGAACTCTGACGTATCGAAGCCGTCGCCCGCCATCCCGTCTTCTAACATAAACAAAATACTTATATATATTGTAAATGTATTATACTGTGTGGGAATAAGGCTGATATATATGTCTATACTTATATAATAAAATGTAAACACACACTTCTTTGTGAAAACCCATAAACTTACAATATGATTTGGGTCATATATTTTGAAGCTAATAATCTGACGGGGCGAGAGAAATAAATACTATTTGCCTGAAAGGGACAAAAACTTCAAATCAATACCAACAAATGTCGGTTGCCATGGTTACCGACATTCGCATCCAATAGTAAGAGCTTTCATTGCCATTTGAACATTTGCATTTTAACATTTTCAATTGAAAATTCTTATTGGAATGTAAACTTTAAAATGAAGTTTTCATAGTGTTTCGCGGATAAAGCCGCATACAAACAGTCTATACCAGGCAGATAATATTGAATAGATAGTTTCTTTAGATTTAAAAGTGACATTTTTATTATATACTCGTCGGAATCAATGCAACATTAGCGACATTGCGGCAATAAAGAGTACTACGTAGCGCTAGCGCCGCCTGTCGGCGTTTGATGCAGTCAACGTATTAACGGGGCCGAGCGAGCTGACTATGAGCAGCTCACTACGATGGTGACAGTCGGCAAGAGCTCACTTCATTAGTGGCTATCAGAAGGAACGCACTTGTCTCGTGGCTGTCTGGGAGAAGGGTGCCGTTGAAACCTTCACGCGTTACCGACTCTGCCACGAACGGTAACATATCTCCAGCGATAAGGAAATTCACTATTGACATCGGAATCACCTACCCTCCTACGACATACTAATATTTTACGAGATATTTACCTGCGTTAACAGATAGTTCCACATCAGCCACGTCCTTTGACTCCACCTCCTCCAATTCAGAACTGCCGCTATCTGAGTATTGTAGATCTACAACAAATTAAGTAAATGTAACATTGAATAAATGATTTTTTCCTTTACATGTTGTTATTTTTTTTTAATTTTAAATGACGTTGAATATTTATACATACCTTCTTCCAAACTATTAATATCTTTTCTCGGTCTGCCTCGCTTTCTCGGTGTAGCACCTAATAAACATTAATCATATTAACTTTGTTAAGAAATGAACGTCCAGATAATGAAACAAAAACAGACGAATAACTAAAACTACTAGTGAAACACATTTTAACATGTTTTATTCATGTTAGTACGGCGCGCAAAAGACTTCTCTTCTTCCAGGCGTGCCACCTTAAAAAAATTGCATTTTACGAAAAAAAAAACATATTTCTGGCGAAACACTTTCTTACGACAAATACAATTCTCTCCTTTTTATATTAATACTAGCTACTGTCATTTTTAAATATCACTTTAAGTCAGGATTATTATCAAATAAATCACATTAATATTATAAATGCGAAAGTTTATATGGATGGACGTTAAGAGTTTGTAGCCTAAACAGCTGAACGGATATCGATGAAATTTAGAGTAAGAAAATTTAGTACAGTAGAGGATAGTCTGGAAGAACACATAGGCTACTTAGTTTAATTTAATTCGACGCAAACGGAGTCGCGGGAGAAAATTAGTATTAGTATAAAATGTTATTCACCATCAGCTGTGGAGGTAGAGGGCTTGTACTTCCGGGGGCGGCCGCGACCGCGCTTCTCGTCGCCCGCCGGCTGCGCCTCCTCCGACTCCGCCTC